AGATCTTGTATAGTTTGTACTCATACAAGCAGACGAGAGAAAAAACGTACCGATACACGTTATCAGTGTGATGTTTGTGACGTTGGACTTTGTGTGATAGGTTGTTTTGAAGATTATCATACTCTGAAATATTTCTAAACGCTTCTATATAACAATAAAATTTGTTCCAGATATTTTTTGAGAGGAAGAAAACATCTTAAATATATAGAACTAAATATATAGAACTTGACGCGCTCTTTCATTTAATACCTAACCACAAATCACGTTAGGGAATGTGATCAGCAGACGTTCACAAGTCAAGCCAAATCCGCCAGAAAATGCATTTTTCCGCTGCGAGGGTAGAATGGCTCTAACGTTTTTTCTAACAAGGATAGACGTAATACTTTTTCCAGTGTAACGGAAAAATTTTGAGAAAAATTGAGGTTTCTGTTTTTTAATAATTTTAAATTCTTAAAGGTGATTTTTCTCAAAACTTTTCCGTTACATTGAAAAACGTATTACACTCAGCACCCCATTTGGCACCTACGGAAGAGTTTTGTCAGCAAAAAGTTTTCTTCATTGTGGTTTGTCGAGCCACAATCTGTTGCTAGGTTCTTAAAAAACACTAGTTTTCTGCAAAATCGACATTTCAACATAAAACAAAATTTCGTTTATCCAAACTTCATTCAAAGTTCACAGTAATTCCAGTATATAGAGACCTGGATCTCGTTGATCGATTGGAGCGAGTCTTATCGTTATAACACGCTTCTTAATGAATAATGAACTTTTTAATAAAACCTCTTAAATTTTTGTACGCTTTTAAAAGTTAAAAGAAAATGGGAAGAACGTGCCTGAGAGGTTCAAACGTGCCACGATGTATGTAAGTAACCCTAACAACGATTCTTAGACGTATCCCTTAAATAGCCTTAATTTAAAAGGCACCCTTCCTTGAATTTTTAACGAATGTAGAGTACTGGACTCGCACTTTAAGATAGACCTTTTATTCTACGATATGATATGCTATACGTGGATTCTGGCCGCAATTGAAGACGCGCAAGCATCTCGAATTTTAAGCAAAATGGTTTTTTATTAACAAATTTAATAGTACATTGAATTAAAATAATATTTGTTATTGTCTGTTTTGAGTATGATTATTTATTATTTATTATGTTGTAGTTAATGCGGTAGTTTTATCTTTCGATAAATATGCTTTTTGAGCTCTAAATGATTCTCGTTGTTTTAAGTTTTGATTTACGATATGTTTCATAATGTGAACCATAAAGTTTTAACATATAATTATCGATAGTGGTCATTCGTGATACTGACAACGATACAGTACGAGAAATTTTTTCATCAATTGAACCTTTTTCTAGTTCATGAAATGAATATAAAGAATTAATAAGATGGTGTAGTAAATGTCTTGTGGAATTACAATCTGCATTTAATGTTTGATCAGTCTGTTTTTTCCTCCAGTACTCTACATTCGTTAAAAATTCAAGGAAGGGCGCCCTTTAAATTAAGGCTATTTTAGTTAGCTAAGTTGTGCAAAAATTCGGAAATCTAACATGTTTTCGCTTTCGTTGAAAAGAAAAAAATCTTCATAATGCGATAGAATAGATTATATGATTTGAACACGGATATATAAACATATATTTATAAAGAGGAAGCATACAGTTCAGCATTAAATTATATAAATCGTAGAAACATTATTGATCAATCAACAATATCCATTAGTATATTTAATCGTAAAAATGAAGAAACTCATATGAATTTAAAATGTGAAAATGTTCGTTTTACTTGGTATTAATTATTTATTGATACGTTAATTCGAATGCCA